ACTAATAATATGATCAGCTGTTCAAGTGAGTGTTTATATTTATACATTAGTCAATGATGGCAGTCCGGCACAGCATCACCACAAAGACTAGACTAATCATTAGAAACTGTTTATTAATATTAAATAATTTTTAACTTCCTCACGAATAGAAGAAAAAATATATATAATCTAATCTTCGTGTGGTGGATGTTGCTCTAATAATTTGTACGAAACGTTAAAATAACGTCCATTATTATATTAGACATTCGATCCAGCCACGAGCAGCTAGACATACCGATTTTATTAACATGACTTTTAAGAATCGCCGTTTTATATTACTCTCAATGGGAAGACAGTTGTGAGGAAGTCTTTGTGCTTTGCTCTGTGTGAATAGTGATGTTAATTAGATATATAAAAGTGAGAGTCTTGTGCGGGCTTTGTTTTATTGCCAGCTCACTGATCAGCGTAGGGCGCGGAAGGATAGTTTATTGCTCTGCGATTGGTGTGTAGTTTCGATGTCTTATCTAGAGGGGGAAGTAGATTTGATGGACAAGAGTCCTTGGGATGGATGTTGCTGTGTTGTTGAGGCTGTGGGAATAACAGATGGAGGTGAGAATGAATATGGGATCGAATGTTGTAGGATCTCAGCCATTCTTCCTTGCTTTATTGGTTTTTTCTGCCTTCCTTTCTTCATGTCTTTCCTTCCCGTTTAGTCCTTCTTCTTCTTCTTCTTCTTCGTCTTCTTCTTCTTCGTTTTCTTCTTCTTCTTCTTCTTCTTCTTCCTCCTCCTCCTCTTCTTCTTTCGTAAGATACGAGGTATAACAAATTCTCCGGTTTTGCATGTTAACTCATTTCTCCTATAAATATCATAATTTCTTATTGTCATAATTTTATATTTTCAGGAGAAGGAAAAGTGAACCAGCTTGGTGGCGTGTTCGTCAACGGGAAACCGCTTCCACGAATTGTACGCCAGCAAATTATCCAGATGGCGGAGTTAGGCGTCAGACCATGCGACATCAGCCGACAGCTTAGAGTGTCACATGGATGTATAAGCAAACTATTGGCTAAATATCAAGAGACAGGGTCCTTTGAACCGGGTAAACGACGAACCGCGCGAACCAATGATGTGACGGAAGACCACGAGAAAGGACACTATAGAATGTCATGGGAGGACCAAATACTGAATGGCAGCAAGCAACCATCTTTGAATTCCACCGAGAGGTATTTTGCAGGTTCCCACGAAGATTTTTGGGAGAAGTATGGATTTSCAAGATACGAAGGTTCAAACGACAAGGAAGTGAAAAGAGAARGAACAAATAGTCTATCTCGGACGCGATGTTCGTTTTCTATCGCAAGCATTCTTGACCTTGATCAAACTGAAAGAAGCCAATCATCTAGTCATGGTAAGTTTAAATGTGTTTTTTTCCCTTCATATTGTGTAGTAAGAAATCAGTACGCATATATATGTACTGTTTAATAAACGAGCAGGAGTGTTTTATCGGGTATAAAACACGAGGCGTAGCCGAGTGGTTTTAGACCCGATAAAACACGATCTGCGAG